TAGGGTACCCAAAAAGGGACCAACATTTTGACAGCCACCCATATCAAGTCAGAAAGTCTAGGATCTCATCCTCACCTATTCCAGGCGGGGTTTCTAGCCCTAGACTCTAAACCTTGAAAATTAAGGTTGAGGGTGTAGGGCTTACCTGGACCCTGGATGTCCTTCCTTTTTGGGGGTAATGTCCCATAAATTTGTAGGGTATACCCCCCAAAAGGTAGGACATCCAGGGTCCAGGTAGGGCTTAGGGTCTAGGGTCTAGGGTTTAGGGTATGTATGGGAAGATTGAGCTGAATCTGTCTCCTTGTGTTGTGGAAGAAGTGAGGCTATCGCTTGCAGTCTCTGCGCTTGCCCCGCCATGCTTTGTGGATGATGGGCCGTATGCCTTTTCGAGTTCCGGGAACAGCCAGAGACCAATGCCGCTCCAGGGAGGATGGAGTTCCCATAAATGGAGCGAGCCCAAAAGTTCAGAGTTTAGGGTTTAGTTCAGGGAGTTTAGGGTTTAGTTCATGAACTCAGCTTAGGGTTTAGGATCTAGGGGTTATGGAGGTCACATATGGGCGGGCAAACCCAATGTAGACGCTGAAATGTTTGAGTCTCTACTGTGTATCCCTAATCAGTTCTCGAACTCCTCAATATTTGTGGAAGATAGTCCCTATATAACCCTAGTTTCCATTTCATGCTCCATGTTCTCCGTTTGATTCTCCAGCATTGGGGTAGTGTCCCTTAAGCTGCCAGGACTTTGTCCAGTTGGTTGTGGATCATGGAGCAGGACTGCCGGGAAAGCCGGGCAATTACCGCATTGCGAAGTTCCCAGGCACATGGGCAAGAACTACAGGGGCCCACTGTAAGGGGTTCTTCTTTGAAATGGGGGATTACATGGGATTCCATTGTAGTTTGGGGCAGGGTAATAGTCAATATGTCATGGGAAGAAAATGCGATCAGATTGGCTCCTGTCACCCAGAAAAAAACGAGGGGCTTCAGGATCATCTACGGCAAATTCTACTGGCAGAAAGTTCGCTGACCCTCAGGTACAGAGCGCATCCTCTTCAAGACGAATTTCACGAAGGCGTTCAAGGATAAGGCTTGGTACCCCACCACCTTCGTGCTTCCTGAAGAGAAGCAAGGCTTTCTTCGGGAGGTTGCCGCCCGGAAGCTGGATTGCTGTTAAAGCAACTCAAGCCAAGTTACAATACATACTACGAGTAAATGGTAGATGATAGCGTTTCCTTATTATAGTAACTTAAAACCCACAGCAACCCAGGAGAAATGCCCTCTGGATTGGAAAGCCGCGCAACGAGTATGGGGGTGCCGGCATCTGTGTGTGGAAGGGCACGGACCCAGCCCTGAAGCGCACCATCCAAGAGATCAAAGCAGGACGGTCGGTCATGCAGAGGTACCTGGGCACCCTAAATGGTGGTTTATGTAGAGAATAGCACCACAATGGCATTAAATTCACAATTGAAATTAGTGTAAATTACCCTGAGGTACTTGGCGGACCCTTTGTTGCTCGGGGGCTATAAGTTCCACATCCGCATCCACTTGGTTATCACAAACCTCTCTCCTCTGGAGGCCTTCGTGCAAGAGAATGGGCAGTGCTTGTTTGCAACAAAGCCCTACAGGGTTTGTGATAAGACGTTGGGCGTGAATTTCGACCCGCCGGCGCCTAGGTGCCCCAGTAGTATCCCTTTTCCCTTTCACTTTGGGGTCTCCTTGTGAAGCTGAACATGAGGAAAAGGTACCCTTATTTCTAAGGGTTAATTACTGGGGAACCTAGGTGCATGTGACCAACATGGGCCTGAATGCCACGCCCGACAACAAGGAGGGAGTTTGTCAAAATAACCCTTTCTGAATCCGTGAAGGAGGATCCCAATAATCCATTTATACCCCACATATTCTTTGGGGCTCCTCAAGGCCCCCAAGTTTGAGAAGCTTGCAGGACAATTTCTTGAAGGAGAAGCCCCTCATTGGCAAAGGCCAGCAAATCCGGGTACGCCAGTTGATCAATCACCTGATGAGCGTGAATCCCAACTTCGACAGGACTTGTGCCCTACAACCCCAAACCCCTAAACCCTAGACCCCAAGCCCCAAACCCCATACCCGAAACCCTAGCCCCAATAAGACTTCCTCCGAGCCTGGAACCATGTAACGCGCCCTGTGAAGACATCTTCGTAGCTGACGAGATGACCTGGTAAGCTGTATAGTCCCCCTTAATTGGATAGAATATAGGGGTTATATATAGGGGTTCTCCTGGGATGATGGAAGAAATGGAAACTAATATTCAGGGTTTAGGGTTTAGGTTATAGTCCCCCTAGCTGAAGTAGATAGAATGTGGCTTTGGGTATATTATAATAAGATCCCCATATACCGCATATTCTATCTACTTCAGGGGGATTATAACCTTTAGGATCTGTATGGGCTATAGTCTAAACTTCTCAAAGAGAGATTATACAGGGATTATATAGGGGAGTATTATAGGGGTTACGAAGGGGGATACTAGGAGTACTACATATTTAGATTAAATGTTTATGTATGTTTGGGGGCTTTGGGTTGGAACCTCAAGTGGGAACCCTAGGGTTTGGGGACCTTATAGGGGAGCATAGTACCTATGTCATGTCTAATCTTATTCGTGGGTAATAAAACTGTTGAAACTAAACATGTACTCTGCTCTAC